GGCGTCCCGGCCCTTGGCTGGCGTGGGGATCCGAGGCGAGCGCTGTGAGGGCCTGCCCGGAGTGGCTTCCGATTGAATCAGGTACGAGGCAAAGTTTTGAACAGGTTTCACCGTGTGAGGTTGAAGAGTGGCGAGTGGCTGTGTCTGCGTTGGCTGAGCGTGAAGCTGCAGAACGGTACGTCCATCTTAACCATGTGGCGCATGTGGGTTCAAACTTGCTTCGACGGTGTGGGGGACGCGTGGAAAGGTTCGTCGCCGCTGTTGGCCAGAAGTTCTTTCTGCCCCATGTCGATGTGATGCGCTTCAAGGCGCATTTTGGAGAGGTGAAAAAGTTTCCCCGAGTTGGTCTACTTCTGAGATCGTTGTCTCCGGGTGCGCCGGTTGACGTAGGCTCAGGTGGGAACCTGGACGCTGAAGTGGCGTACGGCAACCATCCTAGCGCGTTACTGCACAGAGATCGGATCACAGACAAAGTTGTATCGGACGTGATCTTGGGGCGTGCGTTGGTTTTCGATATTCGGTTCATCATTGAGAAATCTTAGGTGTTAGAGTGTCGCCGTTGGGCGTCATCGACGAACCGAAGCTCAGAATTATTCACGATGTAACTTTCACCTCTGGCGTGCCCATCCGTACTAGCGTAAATCACGATACGGACTTTGATCAAGCACCTGAATGCCTCTTGGGTCATGTGTTGAGTGACATTCTAAAGCGGGTGCTGTATTTGCGACAAGTACACGGAAATTCTGATCTGTCGCGTTGATGTGAAAGAAACCTTCCGGCAAATCCCCGTGGATCCGTCTCGGGCATCGGTTTTTGGGTACACGATCGGAGATCACGCGGTTGTTGACCTACGATGTCAGTTTGGATGGCGGTCGAGCCCAGGGTTTTGGTCCTTGTTCTCGTCCGCTTTGGAACACTCACACACACACACACTACATTTCAAGACGCGTCCGTCTCTCCCGCCGGGGCTGCGGCTGTGCAGCATGTTCAAGTAGTGTCCCCACCAGACGAAAGTACAGCGGTGCCGTTACCTGTTGATTGCCAGACTATTGTGGGCGACGGGGCGTTTGCTGGTTCTCCGTTTTTCGTGCGATACTACGTTGATGATGGCGTGTTGATTGAAGGGAGATTTTTCGTTGATGGTCGCCGATGTTTGCGCGCGGTGCGTTCTCTCGCTATGGATCACTTTCGTCTGCTGGGAGAGAGAGGCCCAGCAGACCCGCCGTTGTTGTCGCAAGGAAAGATCACCGATTTCGCTACCCATCTGGATGTGTTGGGTTGGACGTTGGACACTCAGCAACTCACAATTACTATGACCAACACGAAACAGCAGAAACTGGGACTGATTTTGACGGCGTGGCCCGCGACGCGGAGAGTCGCTACAGCTCGTCAAGTAGCCGAGTTGACAGGGCTTCTCATGCACGTTTCCTTCGTGTTGCGGCCAGGAACGTCTTTTGTGGGGCGCCTTTTTTCCGCGGTAGGGATGCCTGCTTCGTCTGCTTTCGCGTCCCAAGTGCCGAGCCCGAACAGACGTGTAGTGCTGGGTCCAGTATTCCACGATGATCTCGAATTTTGGCGGTGGTTCTACGGGCGTGGTCTCTCGTTGCGCGGCGGAAGTCTGTGCACCCATGCACAACATTTTGGAACGCCCGCCTGCACTATCCGTGTTCACTGATGCGTCTAAGCAAGCGATTGGAGGGTATTGTTTGCAAACGGGCCACTACTTTCGATATGATCTGTCTGTGGAAAAGCAATCTTGCTTTGTGGGGTCGAGCAAATCGGTGTAGGGGGTTAATGATGTCAGCATCAACGTGTTGGAGCTCCTTGGCATGGTCATGGGGGCGTGGGTGTTGGTATGGGGTCGAAGTCACCAGCCTGTGGAGGCGGGTGATTGTGTGCGACTTCGAGGAAACAACGAAGCAGCGACGGCGTGAATTGAGCGCTTTCGGGGGGGTCTTGAGCTTCGATCAGGGGCGCTGGTGCGCCTGCTGGGGGGGCTGGAGGTAGCTAGCTGGTGGCATTTCCACACGACCCATGTTCCTGGCATACTCAACTCGCTTGCTGATGGTATCTCACGTTGGAATACTAACGATGTTCATGATAACCTGTGCGCTGTCTCCCCTCATGTGGCGTGGCAGATCGTGGAGTTAGGCCCGAAAGAGCGCGAGTTGTGCTCCACCGTGCTGGCTTCGTGCTCGTCCGGCACGCACTTGCGCCGTCGTCTGACGAACTTTCCTGGGATTTTTGGAGCGTGGGTGAAGTTTCGAGAGGACCTTGTGGGGAGACCGGGGTTTATGATGCCGTCGTCTCCATCGCCGGACATTGTTTCGCAATTGTTGGAGGACGTGGCATACGCGTTTACAGGGTTGGGCTTGAGGCAGACGACGATAGCTGGTCATTTGCCTGCTGATAATTTTTTCCACCGCTTGTCGTATGCGATGGAAGTTGATACATGTTATTTTTTGATCACGCAGGCGCTCAAAGGGGTAGCGCGAGGGCATGCGGATGTTGGTGCGCAGCAACGGGTGCGACGTCCGGTGTCGTGGTCGATGCTGAAGGAAGGGGGGCGTCTGGTGCCACAGTGGGGCACGGGTGGGCGCGTGTTGTTTCTGGCGTTGAGTGCGTCATTTTTTTTCTTGATGCGGGCATGCGAAATGTTCGCTGGGTCCTCGTTGGCCATGGATTCTTGTCATGGGTTGCGTCGGGGGGACGTGGCGTTTTTTTTGGGTTCTCGCCAGTTGCCTCCTGAACGGAGGGGAGAGGCAGACAGAGTCGAGGTGCGGTTTCGGTCGTCGAAAGGCGACCAGTTTCGGAAGGGTGCCATGTGTATGCGGGCGGGCCGAGGCCTCCCCAGTCTGTGGAGTGTGGGGGGGTGCAGTCGATGTGATGATTGAACTCCTGTCATGCTACCCTGTTCTCCCTTCGTCTGCTCCGGTAGTCGCGTTCGGGTCCGGGGAGGGGCGATGGTCCGTGTGGACTCGTCGTCACGCGACGGAAGCGCTGCGGCAAGTCGTGTCGTTGGCGGGTCTGCCGTCGTCCGAGTACGCGTTGCA